AAGTACGATCAAATGATATAATGTCGAAGCGAGGAAACTATATTCAAAGCCACTCAAATTATCAAATTTTCTTTACGATACATTTACAATTGGATAATATACTATATCAAACAAAGATTTATTTAACAAATTAATTTTAAAAAATATCAACAGAATAAATAAAATTCAATCAATTAAAACAACATAGTTAGATAACACATTTTTTATGTGTGTGAGTGTGTGTGTGCGTAAATAAAAAAAAGAATGAATGCAAATTAGTCAAATAGTAATATTTTTAAATAATTCTTCACATTAAATATATGCTTAATGATAAAAGTAGTTATATATCTATTTATTATCGTTAAATAGTGAAAAAATACGCAGTCATTAATGAAATGATTCGTCATTAATAAGATTCAACAAAATAATTAATAATAAAACTGGCTAGAATTACAAAAATATCTTATATCAAAGTATTAAATTAATACTGGTAGGCAAATGAAAATGTTATTATAATTCAATTAATGAATAGAAATTCGACATGTGAATAACTGAATATCAGAATTGTCAAATATTTAACAAAAATTCTTGAAATATTGATCCATTATATAGTAATTAATTGTTAATTATTAATTGTTATAGGATAAGAATTATATCTCGAATGATTACTTACAAACAATTGTTACGAGAATTTGAACTAACCTAATTACAGTATAAAATAGTTAAATATTATTTATATTTTTTGAGAGATTTGATTTATTAACTTATACAAGAATAACAGCTTATTAGAAAATTTTATATGAGGATTATTATAATTTATTAAATAATTATAACGAAAGTAATATATAATTAATCAATAATAGCAATTACTATAAAATTTATTATCTACAAAATTATAAATTATTAACATGTCCAATGCATTAATGCTACAAGGACAGATTTACATATTCATGATTGAAAAGTGATTTTAACATTATTAATTTAAATTAACCATATTTTCAAAAGATTCTAATTAATGTAGTTAATTTATTTAATCAGAATATTAAGAAAGAATTCAATTTATATTTCGTACAATATCGTATGTATTTTTAGAATATAATTCAATAATATTTTATCAATATTTTATATAAGGCTTTAATGTTTTATTTTACTATTCAATATTTGATAACTATTTATGTCTAACAAATGGACACTCATTATTCATATTTTTATCTTATATTCTAAAAATATGTCATTATTACGTATTTAATATACCTTTGAAGGATTCTACTAATTAAAAAATAATTATGTATGTGTAAAGTACATTATATTCTTGCAAGTTATCTGAAATGTAATATATTATTACATTACGTGCTATCAGTAAAAGTTAATTTATTTATTTTATTAATTCATGTTAGTCTATGATAAAACATTATCAAAACATATTTAAATTCTTTACAATATAAATATTAATAGCGTAAGAATTTTTTATGTGTAATTTATGATATAGAAGATTTCTTGAAAGGAGAATTTATCATTTTAAAGGAATGACAGAAAATATATGTATGCAAATATCCTAAGTTTTTTTTTTTACGAAAATGTATAAAAGATGCACAATATATATATATATATATATATATATATATATATATATAACACTTCGTTTATAAAGGACATATCCTAAATAGTGAATGGCACAATTTAATCTTAAATATTATAGAAAGTAAGCAGAGTGTATTGTATAAACATCATACGCACATCCATGTTTTATAGGCGATGTAAAACCACACACGCGCACGCGCACGCGCACGCGCAAACACACATATTTATATATTTATATATTTATGTGTGTATGTATGGACATACGTATATACATACCGTAGTATCAAATTTTCTTCACCCACGTAGAATTTAATGTAATATACAATTACTGGAACGAGTTTTCTCATGCTGCTCATAAGAAGAATAAAGTATATACTTCATCTCAAACGGACAATCACTTTTTATCTTATGTATCCATACATATTAATTTATTCATCTTAGAGTCCATTTACTGTAATATTATAGTAAATTTGAATCACATGCACTCATCTCATCATAATACTAAAACATCAATAATGTTTTTAAAAAATCAGCACGTAAATCCATAGTGAGTATCTAGGAACTTCCACCGAGCGATAAAATATCGCCTAATAAATACTACTTTATAAATTGCGTTGTATTTTTATTTTATTAAAAAAAGAAATGACGAGCCCGAGGCTTTGATACTGTCATTCCTGACATTACAAGCATCAACAAATGTCGAGGAAATTAAAATGAAGATATTTACAAGTGTAAATTTACAATCCGATAACAATGCTCTTTAATAATAAAAAACAGTCCGTACAAATTTGATTAAGAATTTATGTAAAGACGGACATGAAACCTCTTTGAGTGACATTAAAGATGTAGCGCAAAGCCATTCTGCTCTTAAATATTACATGGTGAAAGTAGAAAGATACCCGAAGCAAGGGTCGCCATTAAATATGACTTGTCATTTCAAGCTGCGCATAAAAAGCCGAATTTCCAGCAGCGCGAGTGCATTCGCACGCACACGCCCACGCACTCAGGAGGAGGCATGTGCGTGTCGCGCGTCGCATCCCGTCATGGCAGGTGGCTCTTTCCGGTCTCTGCTGAAGCTCGACTCACGACCACCAACTACTTTCAGATGCTGACGATAGCTGCACTCGCATCCTGTGCCGCGTTTCTTCAGCTGCGCGTCGCATTTGATCTTTACGGGAGCCAAGCTCCTTGACCCGTGTCCCTTCCACCCACCCACCCACCCACCCACCCACCCAACCATTTCTTCAGCTGCGCGTCGCATTTGATCTTTACGGGAGCCAAGCTCCTTGACCCGTGTCCCTTCCACCCACCCACACACCCACCCACCCACCCAACCATCCACACACACACACACACACACACACACACACACACACACACACACACACACACAGAGAGAGAGAGAGAGAGAGAGAGAGACGCGCGCACACACACCTGCCCGTCCGCCCAACGCCCAACGCCCATCGCTCTAACCATCGCCTGCCATTCAACCATCCTCCACTGTGCTATTCCTTTATATCTCGCTGGTCTCGCTGGTGAGCCGATCTTATCTTGTGATTTCGAACGAGCTTATCTTGTGTTTTCATTTTTACTTTTAATGTTGGACACGATGACGACGAGCCCACATCTTTTTTGCTGCCCGACTGGATATCGCCAATGGCAGGGATTCGCATTCAATGCTTGTAATTACACGCGCAACATGCGGGCATTTTTAGAGCGATAAGGCCTATTAGCCATAAATACTTAAACAAATAGATCGCTGAAATTTCTTTTGACGTGCGTTTGCGTTGCAAAATACTTGCAACCGTCACGAACTCCACACTTAAGCACTCAAATATTCTTTAGTCTCCTGGCTCAGTTTTTCAAACTCTCTTCTACCGTTATCATTACTAATATCGAGAGATGTTCTTATTCCCTCGATATTTCATTACATGCTGTCGCTCGATGCTTTTATTAGAAATAGTAATAATTCGAATTTTTTCTTCAACAAAATAATAAATTGTACTATCTATCTGTACTGTAATGGCGTGAATAATGTCATGAATATCATCATAAAGTCGCTTTATTGTACGGTCTATAAATTCTATAAATAATCAAGTTTTAAATAATGCAATTTTTATATACAATTGCATTTTATTAATTATATCTCATACATTCGAATCTAATTTTTCTATTATCTCCAATAAGTTGATTAAAACTTATTTTGTTCTTGCGCGCGCACATGATCACGGACGCTCGAGCGCTTTCGGCTACATGTGCGCTCAATTGTAAAGATAAATAAAGAGACAAATTGAAAATAAACAAAAAATAAATACCCGACTGAATCTACTTTATCTAATTTTAATTACAAAAATGGAAAATTATGTGATAATATTTACTAATAATTTATCTAAGACAATTTGTCTTTGTAAAATGCTATCGATATATCTAATTTAAATAATATACATTGTACGTAATTTTTCAAAGTAACAATTATAAAAAAAACAATATTAAGCAATTAAATTTACACGAATTAGACTCCAATTTGTATCCAATCTGTCCAAGTACATTTAAAAAAAAAACTCACGCATGCACGCATACTTTAATAAGCATAGACAAAATAATAATTTAAATAATAATTATTGTTACTATTTATTATCGATTTATACAATGGTTTTTGTATTGTACTTAATATTAATTGTTTTTACTAATTAGATTATATTCCAATACTTCAAAATATAAACTTTACCAATACATAATAGAATACAATTATTATTAAAATTATAAATTATTGATATCTCCTTCTCGCAAGAAGCAATATTATATGGATAAAATTAATTTTATCAAAGGTAAAATAATAAGTTCTATATTATTATGTATTATTTTAATTAATCACAGTCACAATTAATTATTTAATCTGCTACCACTAACGTCCTTCTATCTGTTTATTCAGCATTAATGTCGACTTTTCGATCGCATAATATTAAATAAATAAATTCACAAAAACATGATACTTTAAAGTAACACCTGCTTATTTAAATAGTTAACAGTAATTTTCCTAAGTAAAGCCTAAACATGTAAAAATCAATGTAGTTACGAACTTCAGAATATTAAATTGTTAAAGAAAAAAATGTTTTCTTTAATATATTATCTATAAATTAACATATAAAATACAAAAAATCGAAATATACATTTGTATTATCGGATTATTCTAGAATTTTATTGCTGCAAAAAATTATCAATTATTCGTTATAGAAATAAATCATCGGTTTCATCACACATGAGTAATATTAGTAGTGTATAATAATTTATCGTGTATGACAATAAGTAAACATGCACACTAGATTAAAGACTATCTTATGTGCACATAAATTTAAATTTAAAGTACATCTGTAAGTTTTAGAATAATGTTTTTTTTCCTATAAAACAAAAAGACATCCGACATAACAATATAATATATCTATAACGGTATAGCACTAAGTACAATTTTTTAAACAACATTATTGAGTTAAAAAAATGAAATTCCTCATATTAGTTCTCACAATTTTCATATGTGCTGTGGAAAACTCTTTAGGTTTGCTTATAATTAAACGCATATATTCATAATTAGAAATTTACTAATTTATTAATTTTGTATTATCAAGGTGCGTCCACGGCAACACGTTGGATTTTTGATACAACTCCAGTTAGAGTAGTTACAACGTAAGTTAAGCTTTTGTTTTGTTTTAGTGGTGGTTGTATCTTCTTGAAATGCAGAAATGAAATTTTTTTCTAAAATTACAAGTATAGTCGCATTAATATAAAAATAATAACTGCATAAAATTTTTCGTTAAGTATAATTTAATAGTTGCTAGAAGGCTTACAAAAAAAATACAGTAATTTTAGTATTTATTAAAATAAAAAAAAAAAGAACAAAAAACAAAAACATATATTAGTTCTAGAAATATAAAAAGTAATGACAAATTTATTTTACTGATAAAATTTTTAATCAGGAGACTCTTTAAAACTCGTTAAAAATGATTAAAAGTTACAAATAAATCAACCTCGACCTGAATAATGTAAATAACATTTTCTCATATTAGATTTAAATTTGAATTACAAAAAATAGACATACAAATATTATAATTTTGATTCTCGTTTATTTGAATTTTCATTCAAACGGTAATTTAGTTTAAAAAATTACATTTATTTTATAGATCTACCAGTAGTGCAAGACCTCCCTCTGGTTGTCTATTTCGAAAGTGTAAGTATATATCGGCATAACTAATATTTATATTATTATTGTGATGACGACAAGTAAATTTTAATATATAATATTGAATTATATTATCAAAGCTGCGAATAATTAATATTATATATGATTATGAAATATTTCAAAAGATTAAAATAACGTTATCGTATAGAAATAACATTACGTTGAAAATTCATAACCAGATAGTAATGAGTCAATAATGTTTGAATATCTTTCGATTGATCTTGCGATATTTCATAAAAAATTAATGAATTTATGAAGTGCAGTTTATATAAAAGTTTTGGTTTAAATTATTGTCTACACAAAATATAAATGGCAGTATAATATTATAATTTATATACCAAAATTTTTCAATCGATTTTAAATAAATTTTCACATTAAAATTTTTTTATTTTTCTTACAGTTCAAAAAGTATACCCAGTAGATGTCTAACTACAAATAATATACTTGGAATATTTACTTGAGACACTCTCCAGTAATCATTTATTATATAAATATTTTAAAATGTTCGCAACTACGTTTCAAGCTCCCATAAAATAAAGCAAATACAATAAATATTTCTTACTATGTTTTTCTATGACAATTTCTAAATACAACATATGTGATATATAACATCAATTATATCAATTTTCATCTAAATAATTGAAAATTAAATAATTATTTTGAAATAGAAATATTTGTAAATCGTGTGTAGGTATGAAAATCAAATAATATTTATAACATTAAATTCCAAGCATATAAACATAGAAACCTTTTTTTTTTTTTTTTTTTTATATATACAAGCACATCTAATAATAATGGTAAGCAAAATTTGTAATTGAATAATATCCTCTCTACAATATGAAATCGATCAGTGTAGGAAAGTTGCAAACTGCTCTGCATTATATTCAATAATCTATTAATTGTTGTCAAGTGTCCCCATAAATAATGAATAAAACTTAATTCTTTAGCATATGTACGTTAATAAACTTCCAAGTTTATTTTGCTTTTCATTTGTACACTATGAACAATAATATTTTATAAAAATGATGATTTATTAAAAGTTTATTGCTTTTTTTAGTGCTTTGGTAAGTTTTATACTTGTCAATTTTATTTTTAAACGGTTAGCACTTGTTTACGAGAAAGTTTTAAAATTAGTTTTTTACCGACGGATCACTTGAACTATTTTCATAAATATATTTTTTTTTCAAATGTAAATATCACACATAATAATTGAAATTATTTTTTAACTAAGCCATAATTACTACTTAAATAAGTTTCAGTTACAGATTTTGCATAAATTAAAGATTAGCTGGCAGTCATTAATATTTCAGTACATGAAAATGACATTGTAAAATTTATTATAAGTTTATGATTGAATAAAGTTTATATAAATAATATATAGTAAAATTCCCGAAAATACCCCACATATATAGAGATTTCTTGAACTTATACTTGAAACATAAATTGAAAATAATTTGATATAATTAAATCAATATTCTTTTAGCATTTGACGGTTTTACTTTAATATAAAATATTTTATAGTATTTTTCATAAAACATTAAATTAAAAAATAATACAAAATATGTAAAAATTAAAAACATCATATATCATATATAAATAAAATTCCTTATATGAATTTGATTATTAATAGCATTTGGAAGGTGTTCAAAATGCAAAATAATTATATATAATTTGTATGAAAAACAGAAGATATTTGGACGAATGTGATTTGACAAATAATATTTTTTTAAAATTCAATAATAATCATAATTTTTCATCACCATGTCATGGAAAAACATTAAAGTAGATTTTATTAGAGTTAATTGTCGGCTGACTGAAGATTTCTTCAATACTATGGGTAAATTTATTATCGAAATTTTACGATCTAAAGTTTATATAGAAAATAAAAGAACACATTTTAATATTCTTATGGATAATGTGTGACCCTATTGAGTTTTACTTGATACCTTTATATATGCTTCGACCGTGATATAAATTATCATCTTACCAATAAACAAACTTTCTTAAACCTACACTTTCTTTTATTTTAACAGCAAATGAATTTTAGTGTTGTCTATGTAAACGTCAGAAAAATTCCATCAATAATGATAATCCTTAGTCACTAGGATACAGCAATAGAAACGCAAATAAAAATACTATAAAGTAAATCATAACTTTTGACATGGATTGTTACGAGTAGGTATTAAAGACATGAAATTATAATTAAATATAATCCTATATATATTAATTTAAATTTCAAATCCTTCCGATTCTTAATCAATTTAATTGCTACGGAACATCCTGAAACTCTGGATTAAACAAATATAATAACAAAATTATATATATATATATATATATATATATATATATATATGTATGTATATTTTTTGTTATTTTACGTCATGAAATGAATGTTATTATGAAACTCTTATTAGTATAAAGTAACAACTTTAGCACATTTCATAATATTTATAACAAGTTATTACATAAAAAATTTTAAGTTATAAGAATTAATAGTTAATTGTTATCGAATAATTAATTGTATCTCCAGGATATCGCTTATATTTTATTGAAATAACAAAATATACAGCTTTTATTCTGCAATATAATAGCAGTTCATATAAAATCTAATCCTCTAATACGAAGTTTATTTTAAAATATTTATTCAAGAACTATTTTAATGCTTTAGCTGCCAATCTATTGTATTTATATCTTGTGCAAAAAAATATGATAAATTACTTTGGTAAACTATGCTTGAATTGTATTAAATCTTGTTACTTGTGTTATGTGTAAATGTTTCAATATTTCTTTCTCGGTGCTTTACACTTTGTACGATATACATTATTAAAGTTATATTTATTAAAATTCTATTATCAATATTTTAATATTGCTTCTGATTAAAACGACATACTTGTTTATTTAAAAAAATATACAATTTCAATATTTCGTGCTTTTTAACATTCAGAAGATAAATGTTAAAAATAGAAATATAAATTAAATATTATAAATTATAGAATACAAATTAATTCTTCAACATAAAGATATTTTTGAAAACATGTTTTCAAACAATTTATTAGTAATATCAATTACTGCAAGTCATACTCACCTACTTAATAAAAAATTATTCGAGTTATTGAGTAATTATTAAGTAAAATGAATTTTTATATATTAATAAAATATTTAATACAATAGCATTCTAATAAATTTAAATTTATCATTATATAATACAACTGCTAATTTCAAGGTAGTTTTTTAATTTTATAAAATATAATAAATGATTTATAAAAATCAATTATTATATATATTATATTATACATCCTATATAAAATTTCTTTATGTATTGTAATAAATGTAAAGAATAATCGTATCCTGATAAAAAAAGATTAGTTTGTTATTCTTCAGTACTAAAGTGTTATTAGTACAAATTCATGTTTAATGAAAAAATAATGGAGCTGTGTTAATATACATGTATATCATTTTGTGAAATTTACAAATTTATCTATTTACAATATTTAATTACATACGTAATTAAAAATAATTCTATGATATATCATTACGTAAGTAGGCTACCTACTATATCCTATTATATAACTTTCAGTTTTAACATTTCAATATCATATATTATATATAAGCTGAATTTATATTAACATTTATATCAAAAAAATTATATTATTAATATCATGTAATATTTTTAATACAATATAGTTTACATTTTAATAATTTAGTTTCTTGACTAATTTCATTATTATTAACTGAAATAAAAGTATAATCAATAATAATTGTGACAATATATTCCCTCATCATTAAATTTCTCATTACCAACTATCGAATAACAATAATAAACATTACCTAACTAAGATAAAACTGTAACAATAAAATAAATCAACACACCGATTACCCAAAGAGCTTTCATAAATATATGGTCCTTATAATATCTACATATTAATATTAATTTAAAATTTAAAATTTTTTATTAATCTTATTAACAATGAGGTATTATACATTATCCATTGAAAATAAGTTCATGTTTTACTCTACTCATAATATACATAATATATTGATAATATAGATTTACTTTATATATTTACACTATATCGTGCGGTATAAGGACGTTACAAAAAGTTTACTTAAATGTTTATCCAATAAATTTCAAAGATAAGCAATATGTTATATTTACAATGATTGTAATTTGATAACTTTTGAACATACGGATAATACATTATTCTAATATGGCATACAATTATATTACAAAAATACAAAAGTACAATTATATTAGTTATGTTTAAAAGATAAGCTTATAATTATTATACAGTATAGTTATGTAATAATATAAATTAAAAAATATAGAAAATAAAACAGCTTAAAAAATTCTGATATTTAAAACTTTTTGCTTTATAAACATCTGTAATAAGAAGTAGTCAAAATAATGAAATAGCTGTATTCAAATGAATTAAAGTACCAGTATACAATTATAATTTGAATAATAGGCTGAATAATAAAATACTCTACTTACATTCATAGTTTATTTTAAAAATTTGACTTAAAGCAATTTATATATATTTTTTCATTAATTATAGATTATTATAATTGTTGGATAAGTATAGAAATTATAATTGTTACAACATATCTATCAAGTATAACTGTTGATAAACTCTATTATTGTAATAATTATATTCACTAATAAAAATTGTCTTAATTTTAATATTGAAAGATATATGTTAAATTTTTTCCTCTTTCCTTAAAGAAATAATTTTTTTATACACACACACACACACACACACACACACACACATCTATATATTATATATATATATATATATATATATATATATATATATAAGATGTATGTAATATCATATCAAAACGAAAGACATAATAATTTATTTTACACATTTATTTTGTAGTATGTTTATAATGATATAAGCTAATATATATAGCTAATACAAATTGTATAAATATATAATAGTTTAGTCAATATGTTAATAACAATTTAGTTAAATTCTAATAAAGT